TTATGTTAGTCCCACAAACGAACATCACATTTTTATTTATATAGATGTAATATAATATATTATATATACATATAATATTTATAATATTATAATGTAATACAATATACTACTAATAATAATAATATTATATTATAATTATATATTTTATATTACATGCAATATTACTAATAATGTTACAATATAATGGTATAGTACAATATAGTAATATATAATATTGATATTGTACTAAGCTAATAATATATTTATTTTGTTGCTGTGGCCCACATGGGGGTTCTGTGTGGGAGGTTTGGTCCAATTCTATCGTTGGTGGGGTTCAGAATGCTCTTTGATTGTAGGTGAACTATAAATCCCAGCAACTACAACTCCCAAATGACAAAATCAATTTTTTTTGAGTGAAGGACATAAATTGGGTTGTTAGGTGTCTTGTGTCCAAATTTGGTGTCAATTCGTCCAGTGGTTTTTGAGTTATGTTAATCCCACAAACAAACATTACATTTTTATTTATATAGATCAGTGGTTCTCAACCTTCCTAATGCCGTGACCCCTTAATACAGTTCCTCATGTTGTGGTGACCCCCAACCATAACCCTAACATTATGAATTGCCATGTAAATAATGATTTGCAGGATGTATTTTCATTCACTGGAGCAAATTTGGCACAAATACCCAGTATGCCCAAATTTGAATACTGGTGGGGTTGTCGGGGGGATTGATTTCGTCATTTGGGAGTTGTAGTTGCTGGGATTTATAGTTAGTATGTAAACAAAGAGCATTCTGAACCCCACCAACAATGGAATTGAACCAAAGTTGGCACAGAGGACTCTCATGATCAACAGAAAATACTGGAAGGGTTTGGCGGGCAATTGACCTTGAGTTTTGGAGTTGTAGTTCATTTACCTCCAGAGAGTACTGTGAACTCAAACAATGATGGATCTGGACCAAACTTCGCATGAATACTCAGTGTGCCCTAAATGTGATCACTGATGGAGTTTGGGGAAAATAGACCTTGACATTTGGGAGTTGTAGTTGCTGGGATTTATAGTTCACCTACAATCAAAGAGCATTCTGAACCCCACCAATGATAGAATGGGCCAAACTTTCCACACAGAACCCCCATGACCAACAGAAAATACTGTTTTCTGATGGTCTTTGGCGACCCTTCTGACACCCCTTCGCAACCCCCTCAGGGGTCCCGACCCCCAGGTTGAGAAACACTGATATAGATATTATATTATATTATATGGCTTATATTGTTGTTGCTGCTGCTGCTGCAACAGAAGCGTCAACTCCAAGGAAAGGCTGCTAGATAACACCGAACCAAAAACTAAACATTGTACGGAAAGATTAATATATTTAATATCCAGATCCTTTTGCCCCCTCTCCCCCCTCCCTTTAAAAACAAAACATATCGAAAAGTATTATGAAAAGGTGTATTTCACTCATTTAAATAGCTCTTAAGGTCGGCGCACGAAGGTAAGGAAATGAGGACCAATCAAGGAAACGTTTGCACAGGAATCAAATTAATTTAACCACGCAATAAATTAAAAACATTAAATATTAACTCTCAGTGCAACAACATATACAGAATGGGGAGCATGAAGATTGTCCCTTGGACGGCAAATACACTTCAGTTTTGGGGAAAGTGTTTGGGAAGGAAACCAAGGGGAAGGAAGGCAGCACAGAATCGGGAATCGATGCCATAAAGTCCCTTTTTCGATCCCAAAACCAAGCCAAAGCCTGCAAAAACTACTTTTGCAGTGAATATATATATACCTATATCATTTAAAAATTGAACCGGAGAGTTTCCGTATAGACAGACTCCATGGTGTTCCATCAAGGAATCCTGTTTTGTGGATTGAGTTCAAAATGACGGAAAGTTTGGGAAACTTTCCCATCAACAGCAGTGAAGGGTGCAAAATTTGGATTCAAAGCAAGCAACTTTGGGTCAAAAGGAGTGTGACATAATTTTGCTATTATTTTTAAAAAAGAGTGAAGTTGTCTTCAGACCAAACATTAAACAAATATATTAAAATATCCAAACTAAACAGCGGTGCATTTTGCAGAATATAGAGAGGATATTTCCAACCTTGGTTTGCTCCGACTTTGTCGTTTTCTCCAAAATTTCAGCTTTATATTATTATTCCCATATTTTTCCTATAACATTCCCTTGAAATTCGGTCTGGGATTCCCTCTCTTTCCTCTCAAGACTCCAACTCCCATTATTTCCCATTTAAAAGTCCAGGCATAACTGGGGATGATGGGCTTTGCAGTCAAAACAAACCAAAACTGCCCAAAGAGGACGGCGCAAGAAAGGGGAACATTTGGGTCTCGTAATATATTTCAAGAGATGAGACTCAAAAGTAAACTTTGGTTTCAAAAAAAGACTAATCAAAGAGGTAGTATGGGCATGTTTTTGCTTTTTTGGGGGGGAGGGGGGCAATATTTTTAGTTTGAATTGTAGGAGGTCAGACTAGATGACCTTTGAGGGTCCCTTCTCATTTTAATTATTTATCTATCTAATGCATTGCAGGGAGGAGGACTCTCCATCTTTGGAGGCTTTTTAAACAGAGGTAGGGTGAGCATTTTTCAGGGGCCATGTTTGAGTTGCATAGCAGGAGGTCAGACTAGATGGCCTTTGGGGGTATCTTCCAATTTTAGTGAATTATTGACCCCCTTGTAAGGAGCAGTTTCAGTCTTTGGAGGCCTTGAACAGAGGTCAAATGGGCAGTTTTCTGGGATATTTTAGTTGTAACTTCCTGCACGGTCAGACTAGATGGCATTTGAGGATCCCTTATTATTTTAATTATCTATCTAATGCATTGCAGAGAGGACTCTTCACCATTGGCAGCATTTTCAACAGAGGTGGGATGGGCATTTTTGGGGGTGCATGCGTGGGTTCAATAGCATTCGGTCAGACTAGATGACCTTTGGGGGTCTCTCCTAATTAGAAACCAGGCAACGGACTAAAAGCAACAGTGACCGTGTCCATAATATTATTTCTCTTAATTTGCATCAGGTTTGGTCAAAACCTGACACAAATTAGGTCAGACTAGGTGACCTTTGGGGGTCCCTCCTAATTACAAACCAAGCAACTGACTAGAAGCAACACTGACCATGTTCATAATATTATATCTCTTAATTTGCATCAGGTTTGGGCAAAACCTGACGCAAATTAGGTCAGACTAGGTGACCTTTGGGGGTCCCTCCTAATTAGAATCCAAGCAAACGGACTAGAAGCAGCACTGACCATGTACATAATATTATTTATCTTAATTTGCATCAGGTTTGGGTAAAACCTGATGCAAATTAGGTCAGACTAGGTGACCTTTGGGGTCCCTCCTAATTACAAACCAAGCAACGGACTAAAAGCAACACTGACCATGTCCATAATATTATTTCCTTTAATTTGCATCAGGTTTGGGCAAAACCTGACACAAATTAGGTCAGACTAGATTACCTCTGGGGGTCCCTCCTAATTAGAATCCAAGCAATGGACTAGAAACAACATTTAATACAATTTCTCTCAATTTGTGTCAGGTTTGGGCAACCCCCCCCCCCCAAATGGGTTTTTAATTAGGAAAACTTGCCAAAAAGGGTGGTCTTTGCATTGGGAAAAGTATGTAAACAGTGGAAGTTTCCATCTGGACACCTTTATATAAATATATAGAGAGGGAGAGAATTCAATTAATTGTTCTGCCAATTTGGGAAAGAGCGGACAGAGGTTTTCCATCCAAACATCTGTTTACTGACTCCTCTCTCTATCCATTTCCCTTTCTATTTAAAGCGCATGGAAAGCGCATGGAGGAGCGGTGAGTCCGGCCCAGGCTTTAAACCTAAATGAAGGAGCAAAGCAAAGAATTCCAGAAGGAAGTTTCCAAAACTTTGGATATGACTAAAAGATTAAAAATCCCACATTTATCATTTTATGGAGACGGGAGTGACCAACAGGCTCCAAAGGGTTATTTATTATTGCCAATTGTGCCAATGCAGCAAAATTAGAAGCGCCTGCACGATCAATATGGGATTCAGTGAGCAACCCAATGAGAATTTCCCTATATGGGATTGGGTGAGAAACAATAATGGGAATTCTCAATAGGGGACATGGTGAGAAATGCCAATGGGAATTTACAAAACCGGTAATGGGAATCATAGATTTCAGATACGGGGAGCACCCCCAATGACAATCCGCAATATGGGATTTGGTGAGAAACAATCATGGGAATTCTCAGTAGGGAATTTGGCAAGCAACGTCAATGGGAGTTCACAACACCAATAATGGGGATTCTCAATATGGGGATTTGGCGAGAAATAGTAACAGGAATTCTTAGTATGACATTTGTTAAGCGATGTCAATGGAAATTCATAATGCTGGTAAATAGGAATAACAGATTTTGGATATGGTGAGCAACGCAAATGAGAATTCTCCATATTGGAGTTGGTGAGAAAAAAAATCATAGGAATTCTCAATATGGGATTTGGTGAGAAACGTCAATGGTAATTCACCACACCGGTAATGGGAATTACCAATTTCGCATACGGTGAGTAGCTCCAATGACAATCCGCAGTATGGGATTTGGTGAGAAACAATCACAGGAATTCTCAATACGGGACTTGGTGAGTAATGTCAATGGGATTTTCACCATATGGGATTTGGTGGCAATAGTGGAAATTCTCCATATGGAATTTGGTGAGCAACGTCAATGGGAATTCATAATGCCGGTAATGGGAATTACTGACTTCGGATACAATGAGGAACACCAATGAGAATTCTCCATATGGGATTTGGTGAGAAACAATAATGGGGATTCTCAATATGGGATTTGGTGAGAAGTAATAATGGGAATTCTCAATATGGGGTTTGGTAAGCAATGTCAATGGGAATTCACATCACCGGTAATGGGAATTTCCAATTTCTGATACGGTGAGCGATGCCCATGAGAATTCTCCGTATGGGATTCGGTGAGAAACGCTAATGGGAACTCACAATGGGGATTCTCAATATGGGATTTGGTGAGAAGTAATAATGAGAATTCTCAGTATGGGATTTGGCGAGCAATGTCAATGGGAATTCATGACACTGGTAATGGGAATTCTCAATATTTGATTTGGTGAGCCAAATAGTGAGAATTCACAATATATGATTCATCGAGCAATCATAAGAATTCTGAAATATCTGGAATTGCAATTCTCAGTATTGGTAATGATTGGTAATGGGAATTCTCAATATGGGATTTGGTGAGAAATGCCAATGGGAATTCATAATACTGGTAACGGGAATTACCAATTTCGGATATGGTGAGCAACGCCAATGGGAATTCTCCATATGGGATTTGGTAAGCAATGTCAATGGGAATTCACAACAATGGGGATTCTCAATATGGGAATCGGTGAGTAAAATAATGAGAATTCACAATATATGTTTCAATGAACAATCGTAATGGAGATTCTCAAAATCAGGAATTGGAATTCTCAGTATCAGAATGTGGATTCTCAATATGGAATTTGGTGAGAAACACCAAATCTTAATATGGAATTTGGTAAGCAATGGCAATGGGAATTCATAATACCGATAATGGGAATTACCAATTTCGGATACGGTGAGCAATGTTTTGGTGAGAAACGCCAATGGGAATTCATAATACCGGTAATGGGAATTACTAATTTTGGATACGATGAGCAATGTTTTGGTGAGAGATGCCGACGGAAATTCATAATGCCGGTAGTAGGGATTCTCAGTATTGGATTTGGTGAGTAAAATAATGAGAATTCACAATATATGCTTCGGTGAGCAATCATAATGGGGATTCTCAAATATCTGGAATTGGTAACGATAGGGAATGGGAATTCTCAGTATGGGATTTGGTGGGCAATGCTACTGAGTCCTCATCATGTTCAATACCTTCTGTGTTCGGATATTGGGAATGCACCCCTAATTCTCCCCAGTTCCCCCATAACTGTTGGACGGCGGATGATGGGAATCCCTGGAAAAGGAACAAAGTTTCCAAGTAATGGGACGGATGTGTCCGAGTTCTCGTTGCACGACGCAATGCGATGCCTCCCACTTTTGGAAACCTTGCAAGCCTTTCTGCATTTCGGTGAGTCTGCGGCTATGCTTCCAGTCAAACCAGTAATCCACTGGGATAGGAAAAGGATGGTGGTACCAAGAGAAACAGGAAGCCCAGAAATCCCAAGCATGCCATTTGGATTTAGGAACCGGCATTAAAGAGGATTTCCTTATCACCTTGGAGGGCTTTTGAAGTAATAACAAAGGAAATGTTTCAGATCCCTTCACATCCCACTTGATCTTTTTGACATCGAATGTTTCTGCAGCCTTGACTTTGCCTTCGGAGTCGAAACTCAAAAGGGAAATGAGTCCTTTTGCTTCTGTCGGAATCCCAAACGGCACTGCATTTAAGGTTCTCTAAAAGCAAGTGATCCCAATATACAAAAGTATCCTTGTTCTGGAAACTATTTGAAGTTCTGCAAGGTTGCTCTTCATTCGTTGCTTTGCAAGAACGTGCCAACAAATGTCCAAAGTCCGCCTTCTCCGACGGAGGATCTCCCCTTTTTGAGTCCAACGTCCAATAGGCATTCCCAATCTTCAAAGGAGTCTCAAGAAAGAAAGAGGATTCCTGGGGAATACGGGAAAACAAACCCCAAAGTGATCTGTCCATGTTTCATGTAAAAGCGCATTCGTTCCTTGGAGAGGCGTAAACATAAAGTTTTCAGCCTCGTTTCCTGTCGTTTCCCATTCCGTTTTCGGAAATAAAAGACCCCAAAGAGGCTCCGAGCGGAGTCCACTTTGTCAATATTGTGATGCAAACAAATCCCTGGAAGACTTCTTCCTTTAAATAATATATAATCCACATTTACATCTTTGGAATACGGACGGCGTTTGGTGAGATGAACGGTGTTCTCTCCGAACAGTGAGATGAATTTCGGCCAAAAAGGTCTTGGTCAGACAACTGGGAAAAAGAAAAAAAAAATCCAGGTCACAATAAGCCTAAAAGAGGTGAAGGATTATTCTGTTTGGCACAAAGGTGATAGAACATCAATGGTGCCCAATCTGTACGCAAATCCCATACTCCCCAAAAGCATTTGAGACCGTGTTGTCAAAAGCTTTCATGGCCAGAATCACTGGGTTGCTGTGAGTTTTCCAGGCTGTACAGCCATGTTCCAGAAGCATTCTCTCCTGACATTCCACAGGTATATAAAGCCCACTTGCCTAGTGTGGTGAAGTGTGAATTTTAACTTGCAGTTATGTATAATTATAGATTGTAGGGGCGGAGCCAACTGCCACTTGGCAGGGCAGCCATTTTTAAAACAGTCAGTCTGTAGTCAGCGAACTACAGGAGAGGCTGGTTCTGTAGTAAGAATCAGGAAGGTTTTGGCTTTTAGCCTGGGGAGTTTAGATAAGTCGAGTTGACTTATTTATAGTAGTTAGTGTATGAGTGGAAAAGATAAGAGAAACCCAGTGAGAATCTTTATTGCAACAGAAATATCACAAAGAAAGAATAAGCTTGTATCTGAAGTAATATATTAAGGAAAGAAACAGTTTGAAGAAAAATAAATTTGAAACCTGTTTTGTGGAAGGAAGAGTCCTTTCCAGAGTTGTTTTAAGGAATGTTATAAATGTAACCTCTGAAGATAAGTGCCTCTAAGAGTTAAGAAACATTGAAACCATCAAGCTCCTTCTACATTTCAATAAACCTGTTACAGTTTCTTCTAAAGCCCGGTCTCTGTTACAAATCCTTTCCAAGTTAAGTCACACTACACACTGAAGAAAGACCAAATCAATATTACTACCTATTAACTACGCTATCAATTTAACAAGCCCTTACAAAGTGGTGGCTTCTTTACAAAATTGTTACAAACAGGTGGTGGCTTCGTCACAAATTGGTGGCATCTCTACACATCTTTACATCTAGTTTCCAACAGACCCCTCAACTTCTGAGGATGCCTGCCATAGATGTGGGTGAAACGCCAGGAGAGAATGCTTCTGGTTTCCATGGCCAGACAGCCTGGAAAACTCACAGCAACCCAGAATTTGAGACCTTTATCAAAATAGGAAATGGAAAAAAGGTGGTTGAAATAACCCAAAACAGAGCCAAAATCCTCCACCCATTCCCTGTGTTTTAATATGAATGCCTTAAAATCAGAAGGGACCTCCCAAAGGTCATCTCGTCTGACCTTCGCCTGTGCGGGAATTCACAATGTGAAGACATTAAAAGAGAAATAGGCAATTAAAAAGGACATTTTCTGGGTGAACTGGAATATTTCTTTTATTGTTGTTGTTGTTGTTGTATTTGGTGTGTACAACAAGATTAGTACACACCAAACAAGATCACTCTGCTGGCTGTTGTATTGGATCAGATGTCAGGCACTTCCCAAGTGCCTAGGACTATGTGATGTATCGGTAAATAATGCGTGCAGATCCGAGTTGGGTGGCCTTTTGCAGCTGACAGGCAGTAATTTTGTCAGCACTGATTGTGTTTAAGTGTGGGCCAAGGTCTTTAGGTACTGCACCCAGTGTGCCGATCCCCACTGGGACCCTCTTGCCTCACTTGTGACAAAGTCTTTGCAGTTCGACTAGGTGGTCAGACTAGATGGTCTTTGAGGGTCCCTTCTAATTTTAATTAATTATCTATTCAATGCATTGCAGAGAGGAGGACTCATCATAGTTGGAGGCTTTTTAAACAGAGGTAGGATGGGTATTATTCAGGGGCCATGCTTGGGTTGCATAGCATTTGGTCAGACTAGATGACCTTTGGGGGTCCCTCCTAATTTCAATTGATGATCTATTTAATGCACTGAAAGGAGGAGGACTCTTTATCTTTGGAGGCTTTTTAAACAGAGGTGGAACAGACATTATTTGGAGGCCTTCTTTGAGTTGCATAGCAGGAGGTCAGACTAGATGGCCTTTGGGGGGACTCTTCCAAATTTAGTGGATTATGGACCCCTTTGTAGGGAGCAGTTTCCATCTTTGGAGACTTTGAACAAAGGCCAAATGGGCAGCTTTCTGGGATATTTTAGTTGTGAATTCCTGCATGGTAGGTGGTCAGACTAGATGGTCTTTGAGGGTCCCTTCTAATTTTAATTAATTATCTATTCAGTGCATTGCAGAGAGGAGGACTCTTCATAGTTGGAGGTCAGACTAGATGGCCTTTGGGGAGCCCTTTCCGATTTGACGTTTCGATGATTCTCGGCCTGTTTGTCTACCTGTTTCTGAGTGACAGCAGGATGACCCTCCCTTCAGGAGTCCGTTGGGCTTCTCCTGCCGGCAGACGGCAGTCCGGCACCCGCTGCAGTGTTTCCGGATTTTGCAGCAACTGCAAAACAGACAATGGAGAGAAAAAGGACAATGCAATTTAATGTAATTTTGGAATGACATTGAACACAATGGTGCACAGATTGGCCTTCTTAGCAGGAGAAAGAGTTATGCACATTTTTATCGATTTTAGGGTATGATTGTATTGTTGACACTGAACATCAGAGTCGTATTTTGGGCACCAATTCGGCACAAAATGCACCCAAAACCGTTTAGATTCGAGGTTCCCTTTTTGAGCTGAGAAAATCTAAATCCATCCTCCATCACAAACATGGACCTAGGGCAAGTCACACTCTCTCGGCCTCAGAGGGAGACAAGAACAAGCATAAAGAAATCAAAACCAATCTTTGCCAAGAAAACCTCATTAATGTCTTAAACCCTCCATAAGCCAGGCATAATTGTTTTCAGTCCTGGAAACCCACTGGGCTGGATGGCCGTCTGTCAGGAGGGCTTTGTTTGTGTCTTCCGGCTTGGCTAGATCCTCTTTCCTACTCCAAGACTCTATGAAGTGGGATTCATTGGTTATTGTGAATGGTATCAACGTTTAATTCTATTTTCACGGTTGTACGTTTAGTTTTGTTTAGTTTTCAAATTATATATCGTATTATTTTTATGGTTGGATGCTTTGGGTCAAAGCAAGATAGAAACAACAACAACAACAACAACAACAACAATGCCATCCTATGGAACACAGCCATGGTGGTTGGGCAATCTGCAACCAACAGTAAAGGTTTTTAATGTGAGCTGTTCCAGTTGCAACACTCATAGGGCGCCCGTCACCCGCAAAGCCGTGTCCTTAGACAACAAAACACACACATTCAATAGAGATGCCATTCCAGGACATTTTGGCCACATAGATGCAAAGGCACATCATTTTCATGCCGTTTATGAACTCTTTCCCTTCCCAATGTATGGCAGATGCATATGAGACAGAAGAAAGAAGATGCAATTGTTGTTTGGTCATATATATATATATATATACACATACACACATACATACACACACACACACATGCACACACACACACACACACACACACACAAACACACACAAGCCATTCCTGAGCTAGAAACACCTGACTTACAAATGACTCCAAGTGAAGAACAGGGTTGGACTGGATGGCCTTTGGGGATCCCTTCCAAATCTAGGATACTGTATCTATGTTATATGTGTATGTGTGTGTGACCTGGACCTTTGGAGTAGTCGCATGCATTCCGATCGTGACCTCTAACCTATGGAATCATATTCATCTTAGAATTAGTAGTCTTTGCAACTACTCCAAAGGCCATCCAGTCCATCCACTTTCTCCAAGGCAGGAAGGTACAACTCGATCCTTCCCAACAGATAGCCATATAGCCTCTGCTTAGAAACCTCCAGAGAAAGAACAAAGCAAATCATAGAAAGATTCCTAGATTTGGAAAGGGACCTCTAAAGGATATCCAGTCCAACCCTTTTCTATCTTTATGCATGAAAAGCACAATCAGAGCTCTCCTGACAGATGGCCATCCAGCCGTCTTTGAACACCCAAAATAACAACATAATATAATATAATATAATATAATATAATATAACATAAATATTATAATATGACTTAATTAAAATAAATAATACAATATAAAATAAATAACATAATAAGTAATATTCTAGAATTCAGACAAAACAAGTTTTTGAACCACCAAAATAACCACCAAAATAACAAAATATAATATAGCTCAATATAATATAAATAATATAAGTAATATTCTAGAATCCAGACAAAACAAGTTTTTAAATACCAAAATAACCACCAAAATAACAATATAATATAAATAATACAATATAAATAATATAATACGATAAGTAATATTCTAGAACCCAGACAAGACAAGTTTTTGAACCATCAAAATAACCAAATACAATATAGTTCAATATAATATAAATAATACAATATAAATAATATAATATAATTAATATAAATAATACAATATAATATAAATAATATAATATGATAAGTAATATTCTAGAATCCAGACAAAACAAGTTTTTGAACCACCAAAATAATAAAATATAATATAGCTCAATATAATATAAATAATACAATATAAATAATATAATATAATTAATATAAATAATACAATATAATATAAATAATATAATATGATAAGTAATATTCTAGAATCCAGACAAACAAGGTTTTAGACTACCAAAATAACCACCAAAATAACAAAATATAATATAGCTCAATATAATATAAATAATACAATATAAATAATATAATATGATATAATTAATATAAATACAATATAATATAAATAATATAATTCAATATAATTAATATACTATGATTAATGTAATATAATACAGTGAGACCCCTGTAAACATGGAACTGATATACGCAGCCACTGACCGAGTGAAGGCGCACTTACTGTATGAGGACGCAGACCATAATAAGCATGGCGCATGCGACCACGGAGACCACCGCCAGCGCCGTGATGGTCTGCTTCGTGTGGTTGGCAGCCACTACCGCCAGCAGGTCAACGTGCTCGCACCGCGTCCCAACATAACCACTCTGGCAACTGGGAAGGGAAAGGAAAAGTCATACATCAAACTGGGAAGAAGGAAAGCCCATCACAGTGAGAAAAAGGGGGTGATGGGAGTTGTAGTTGAGCAGGGGCTTGATGCACCTCTGCTGGAGAATGCAAACAACACCTCCCACGGTTCCATAGCAGATAAAGTGGGGTCAAAGGGTGTTCATTCCAACTGTGTAGATGCACACTTAATGCAGTTGGATCCCGGGAGTTGTAGTTTCGCAAGCCAAAGAAAGAGCTGAACCATTGCAAGTCACTTTAATGTAGATGTACTGTTAGTGTGGTTTGGGACCACTTTATACAATGTAGATGCACCTTTAATGCGGTCTGGCAGCACTTTAATTGTACAATGTAGATGGACATGCATTGGTATGAGCAGTATCTCTTCCTGTATCCATTGTATGCAATTGTCTCCATAGAGGAATTCATCCATGCCCTAAGCCTGGATCCACACTGTTGAATGAATGTGGTTTGATCCCACTTTAAACAGCCATGGCTCAACCCAATGGAGTCCTGGGAGTTGTAGTCTGAAGAGGCACCAGTCCTTTTTGGCTGAGGAGGCGAAATGCCTTGGGAAACTACAGCTCCCAGGATCCCGCAGCATCGAGCCATGGCAGTCAAAGTGGTGTCAATCTGTGCTAATTCCCCCATACAGATGCCCCCCCCCTGAGGACAACCATAGCAGTCAAAGTGGAGTATTATTATTATTATTATTATTATTACTACTACTACTACTATATTATAACAATTATTATTATTATTATTATTATTATTACTACTACTACTACTACTACTACTATATTATAACTATTATTATTATTATTATTATTATTATTATTATTATTACTATTATTCTTATTATTCAGCTCTCAGGACCTCACAACACTGAACCATGGCAATCAAGGTGGAGTATTATTATTATTATTATTACCATCACAATTATTGTTACTATTGTTACTACTACTGTTACTATTATTATTCAGCTCTCAGGACCCCATAGCACTGAACCCTGGCAATCAAAGTGGAGTATTATGATTATGATTATGATTATTATTCAGCTCCTAGGAATCCATAGCATTGAACCCTGGCAATCAAAGTGAAGTATTATTATTATTGTTATTACTATTACTATTACTACTATCGCTATTATTGTTACTATTGTTACTACTGCTACTACTACTACTATTATTATTCTGCTCTCAGGACCCAACGGTACTGAACCATGGCAATCAAAGTGGAATATTATTATTATTACTACTACTACTACTATTAGCATTATTGCTATTATTGTTACTACTGTTACCACTACTATTACTATTATTATTCAGCTCCCGGGACCTCATAGCACTGAACCATGGCAATCAAAGTAGATTATTATTATTATTATTATTATTATTATTATTATTATTACTACTACTACTATTACTACTATTACTATTATTGTTACTACTACTACTACTCTTATTATTCAACTCCCAGGACCCTATAGCATTGAACCATGGCAATCAAAGTGAGGTATTATTATTATTATTACTATTACTATTACTATTACTATTATTATTATTATTATTATTATTATTATTACTCATTTCCCAGGACTCCATAGCACTGAACCACAGCAATCAAAGTGGAGTGTTATTATTTTTATTACTATCATTATTATTATTATTCAGCTCTAAAGACACAATAGCATTGAACCATGGCAGTAAAGTGGAGTATTATTATTATTAATATTAATATTATTATTACTATTATTATTATTCAGCTCTGAAGACACAATAGCATTGAACCATGGCAGTCAAAGTGGAGTATTATTGTTATTATTATTATTACGATTATTATTCAACTCTCAGGATCTCATAGCATCAAGTCATGGCAGTCAAAGTGGGTTATTATTATTACTATTATTATTATAATTAAGCTCTAAGGAGTCCATAGCATTAAACCATGGCAGTCAAAGTGAAGCATTACAATTACTATTATTATTCAGCTCTCACGATCTCATAGTATTGAACCATGGCAGTCCAAGTGGTGTCAATCTGCGTTAATTCCCCTGTGTGGACTCACATGCACGCCGGCTTCTCCTCCTGCACCAGGAACCTGCAAGTGCCGTATACACAGAACTGGCTGTGGGCGTCCGGACAGGTGTCAAAGTGGGACCTCACGGCCGCTGCCACAGGAGCACCTGGAAGGGAAGCAAAGACACGGGCATGAGACCACGGAGAAGAGCGCATCCAGTGGAAAAGAAGGGCTTTCCATTGAGGAAGGAAGGAAGGAAGGAAGAGGCAAGCTCCTGGAAAAAAAAATCGACAATGGATTATATGCAATGGAACCTCCTTCTTTGCAGGTTTTCAAGCAGAGGCTGGATGGCCACCTGTCGGGAGGGCTTAGATTGTGTCTTTCTTTAGGCAGAAGGGAGTTGGACTTCCAATGCTATCATCCTATGGTTATATGAGTATTTTTAAGCAGACGCTGGATGGTCATTGGTTGGGAAGACTTTTATTATTATTTATTTATATGCTGCTGTATCTCTCCCTATGTCAGAAGGAGGTTAGACTGGATGGCCTTGAGAGGTCCCTTCAAACTCTATCATTCTATGATTATATTAGTTTTTTAAAAAACAAATGATGGATGGCCATCTGTCAGAACGGTTTGAATTGTGGCTTTTTATGCCAGAAAGGAGTTGGACTGGACGGCCTTTGGGGATTCCTTCCAACTCTAGGATTCTATGGTTCTATTATCATTATTGTTATGCAGAGTATGGATGGCTATCTGTCAGGAGGGTTTGGATTGTGTCTTCCTCTATGATAGAAGGGGGTTGGACTGGATGGCCTTTGGGGATTCCTTCAAACTGTAGGATTCTATGGTTCTATTCATTGTCGTTATGCAGAGAATGGATGGCCATCTGTTAGGAGGGTTTGGATTGTGTCTTCCTCTATGATAGAAGGGGGTTGGACTGGATGGCCTTTGGGGATTCCTTCAAACTGTAGGATTCTATGGTTCTATTCATTGTTGTTATGCAGAGGATGGATGGCCACCTGTCAGGAGGGTTTGGATTGTGTCTTCCTCTATAACAGAAGGGGGTTGGACTAGATGGCCTTTGGGGGTCCCTTCCAACTATAGAATTCTATGGTTCTGTTCATTGTTGTTATGCAGAGGATGGATGGCCATCTGTCAGGAGGGTTTGGATTGTGTCTTCCTCTATGACAGAAGGGGGTTGGACTGGATGGCCTTTGGGGGTCCCTAATATAATGTCATATAATCATACAATAATAGATTATATGATTTTTAAAAAGGAGGTACTGGATGGCCATCTGTCAGGAGGGTCTGGATTGTGTCTTTCTCTATGACAGAAGAGGGTTGGACTGGATGGCCTTTGAGGGTCCCTCAAATAATGTCATATAATCATACAATAATAGATTAAATGAGTTTTTTTAAGGAGATATTGGATGGTCATCTGTCAGGAGGGTTTGGATTGTGTCTTCCTCGATAACAGAAGGGGGTTGGACTAGATGGCCTTTGGGGATCCCTTCCAACCCTATCATTGTATGGTTCTATTATCATTATCATTATGCAGAGGCTGAGTGGCCATCTGTCGGGAAGGCTCAAATTATGTCTTCCTGCCTGACAAAAGGGGGTTGGACTGGATGGCCTTTGGGGGTTCCTCATATAATGTCATATAATCATACAATAATAGATTATATGAGGGGGTTTTTAAAGGAGATACTGGATGGCCATCTGTCAGGAGAGTTTGGATTGTGTCTTCCTCTATGATAGAAGGGGGTTGGACAGGATGGCCTTTGGGGATCCCTTCCAACTCTATCATTGTATGGTTCTATTATCATTGATTATGCAGAGGCTGAGTGGCCATCTGTCAGGAAAGATCAAATTATGCCTTCCTGCCTGACAGAAGGGGGGTTGGACTGGATGGCCTTTGGGGGTCCCCAATATAATGTCATATTATCATACAATAATAGATTATATGAGGGTTTTTTAAAAGGAGATACTGGATGGCCATCTGTCAGGAGGGCTTGGATTGTGCCTTCCTCTATGACAGAAGGGGGTTGGACAGGATGGCCTTTGGGGATCTCTTCCAACTCTATCATTCTATGGTTCTATTATCATTATCATTACGCAGAGGCTGAGTGGCCATCTGTCAGGAAGGATCAAATTAGGAAGGGAGGATCAAGGAAGGATCAAATTCTGTCAGCCTGCCTGTCTGACAGAAGGGGGTTGGACTGGATGGCCTCTGGGGGTCCCTAATATAATGTCATATATACAAAAATAGAGGTTTTTTTAAAGGAGATACTGGATGGCCATCTGTCAGGAGGGCTTGGATTGTGCCTTCCTCTATGACAGAAGGGTGTTGGACAGGATGGCCTTTGGTGATCTCTTTCCAACTCTATCATTCTATGGTTCTATTATCATTATGCAGAGGCTGAGTGGCCATCTGTAGGGAAGGCTCAAATTATGCCTTCCTGCCTGACAGAAGGGGGTTGGACTGGATGGCCTTTGGGGATCCCTCATGTAATGTCATATAATCATACAATAATAGATTATATGAGGTTTTTTTAAAGGAGATACTGGATGGCCATCTGTCAGGAGGGCTCGGACTGTGCCTTTCTCCTTGACAAAAGAGGGACACCAAGCCTAAACCCATTGGGAAGCAAACAGGTGCACGTGCAAGGCTTAAAAACCATTGAATGCAAGCCCACAAGGAAACAAACAACACTCAGCGGCCCTTGAGCTAAATCTAAACCCCGTTGGCGCTGCTATTAATTTCCCAGCTTCTCTGGCTCCGTTCCAGGCCGTGAGGAATGCCATGCCTTGCATTCTTCTCCGTCCCAAACAAAAACCCTTTCTTGGTGCCAAAAAAGCATAATAAGGTCCACGCTGCAAATAACTTGCGCCGTTAAACAGCATGACACAGAGCCAGGTTCCCAAAGGCTTGCGCTTGATCCAAGGGTGCATCTGCACTGGGGGACTAATGCACCTTGGCGTCACTTGACTTGCCCTATCTCAATGGGAGGGGTAGTTTTGCAAGGTCTTTCACCTACTCTGCCAAATGTCAAGTCCATAGGCTTCCATAGCATTGAGCCATAGCAGTGAAAAGTGGTCCCAAACTGCATCAATCCTGCACAGAATACATCCCAAATTGGCACACATATGGATTTATATGCTGCTTTTCCTCCTCCCAAAAGGGCATCCTTAAGGTCATCTAGTCCATCCCCTGAGCTATGCAGGAATTGACAGCAAAATTATGGATTTATATACTGCTTTTCTTCCTCCCAAAAAGGGACCTTTAAGGTCATCTAGTTCATCCCTGCAGCTATGCAGGAATCCAGAGCAAAATATAGAGTTATAAGATACTTTTTCCTCCCAAAAGGAACCCATAAGGTCATCTAGTCCAGCTCTGGATGTATGCAGGAACCCAGAGGAAAATGTGGATTTATATGCTGCCTTTCCATCCAAAAGGGCACCCTTAAGGTCATCCAATCCATCTCCACCGCTATGCAGGAATCCAAAGCAAAATACAGATTTATGTGTTACTTTTTCTCCCAAAAGGGGGGTCTTAAGATCATCTAGTCCAGCTCCGCATCTATGCAGGAATGAAGAGCAAAATATGGATTTATATGCTGCTTTTCCTGCCAAAAGGGGATCCTTAAGGTCATCTAGTTCATCCCTTCAGCTATGCAGGAATCCAGAGAAAAATATAGATTTATATGCTGCTTTTCCACCCAAAAGGGGACCCTTAAGGTCATCTAATCCATCTCCACAACTATGCAGGAATCCAGAGCAAAATACAGATTTATATGCTGCTTTTCCTCTCAAAAGTGGACCTTTAAGGTCATCTAGTTCATCCCTGCAGCTATGCAGGAATCCAGAGCAAAATATGGATTTTTAAGATACGTTTTCCTCCCAAAAAGGAACCCATAAGGTCATCTAGTCCAGCTCTGGAGGTATGCAGGAACCCAGAGGAAAAGGTGGATTTATATGCTGCTTTTCTCCCCAAAAGGGGTGTCTTAAGATCATCTAGTCGAGCTCCGCATCTATGCAGAAATCCAGAGCAAAATATGGATTTATATGCTGCCTTTCCTCACAAAAGGGGACCCTTAAGGCCATCTAATCCACCTCCAAAGCTATCCAGAGCAAAATACAAATTTATATGTTGCTTTTCCTCCTCCCAAAAGGGGACCCTTAAGGTCATCTAGCCCATCTCTGCAGCTATACCAGAATCCAGAGCAAACTACAGATTTATATGCTGCCTTTCCTCCCCAAATAGGGCTCATCTAGTGTGCATCTGCACTGTGGGACTAATGCACTTTGGTGCCACTTGATCTGCCATATCTCAATGGGAGGTGTAGTTTTGCAAGGTCTTTCGCCTACTCGGCCAAAACGACAAGTCCATAGGCTTCCATAGCATTGAGCCATAGCAGTGAAGAGTGGTCCCAAACTGCATCAATCCTGCAGTGTGGACGCACAGAATAAATCCAAAATTGTCACACTTCTGTTTTATTTAGCTCCTTCTCACTAGGGTTTCCCACCACTTGCAAGAAAGAAAAGCTATTTTTGACCATTAAAAATGTTTTTTAAAAGATTCTTTCCATCCCTAATGAAAAGCAGGAGGATTGTTTATATATAATCTTGGAAAAAGAAGGTGGGAACACTTAGGAGAATGGACACATCTGCAAATTGTGGGGTCCCCCCCCTCCTCCCCAACTCTGACTTTATATTTTTAGGCAAAGCAGATGTCATAAATTAATACCAGGCTATTTAAAGTAAATAGGAAGAAATAAATTGTTAAGTAATTATGGGAAGAGGCCTGCAGAATATAAGGATTGGCATTCATTCAGGGGGAAACAAATGGCAAGAAGATCACATTATATACAATGCCGAAGTACAGCATTGTCCTTTGTATAAAATGGCAAAATCGAGCATTATTTAGAGTGTGTGTATGTGTATGTGTAGGAATTGTAGGAGTTGGAAGTCCAAAACAGCTGGAGGGAGGGCCAAAGCTGGCCCAGGCCTGATACATTGGGACTGTGGCGCAGCTGGTTGGGAGTCAGCTGCATTAAGATCACCACTGACCGAAGAGTCATGAGTTTGAAGCCAGCCCGGGTCGGAGTGAGCTTCCGACCAATTTGTGTAGCTTGCTGTCGACCTTTGCAGCCCGAAAGACAGTTG